ATCCTGCTCACACACACACACACACACACACACACACACACATACACACACCCTGCAGTCATTAAGACTCGAGTGTGTCATTTTGACTTGTGATTTATACACAGAGTCTTCGTCATGATGTAATTAGTGATTAGGGGGAAGCGTGTGGGTGGTGTGCATTTGCAGCCTGACTCATGTGAGTTTTCATCCTCAGCATTTCCCATGTTGAGTCTGTGCTCCCATCTCCTGCTGCGCCGAGGTGACCACAGCTCATATTAGGAGCGGGAACGGGTGGGTGTACAGCGCGTTTTAATAAATCAGCCGTGAGACGTTCGCTTCGGTAGCAGAATCGTTTTGCGGGTTCAAATAGTTGAAACTCCTCAGACAGGTCTGCAGGTGGACATGGAAACAAACAGAGTTTAAGGAAGGTGTTCAGCTTTTGACTGTGTGACTCTAAGTCTCTATAAATAACACATTATTATAGCTATAATATCCTGTAGTATCCAAGTATTTTTCTAAAAAATTCACATTTTGTGTTTCAGAGTATGATCTCAGCCATAGTGAACAGTTCCTACTACGCCAACGTTTCCACCTCCAAATGCCACGAGTTTGGGCGCTGGTACAAGCGCTACAAACGCATCAAAGGTAAGTCTTACATTCACACCAACTCTTACACACAGTAACTCTGAGTACTTGTAGGAAAACAGGTGAAGTTGGTCTTTTTTCATTTTTTTTTTCTTAAACTTCATATCATTTGAGTGACGCCTGAACGCAGCACGAGCTGCAGCTCAGTGTGAAGCGGAGCCACATTTCTATAATTACAGATCAATGGTGCAAATATTTGTTGGCTGTCAGAGAACAGCATGCAGAGTTTTATCAGAACAATGTTGTTAATCAGCTGCAGTGTGTGTGTGTGCTAATTTGTCTGAGTTGCAGTTTGAACTCCCTTTAGCTAAATTTGTTTCATAAATTATAGTGAAGGGCACAGCTAATTGAAAAGTTAGGTTCACTAACCGCTAAATTGCAAAACAAGAGTGTTCGCTAACGCTAAACAGCCAAACCAGTTCAAAGATTTGTGGAAGCTAATGCTAACCTGTAACCGCCAAGACGTCTGTCACTCACCTGTCTGCATCTCCTTCTGAAGACTGCTGGGACCCCAGGTGTTTTGTAACTATTTACTATGTTATAGTTAGGGGTGCAACAATACATGTACCCGTATCGAACAGTGCTTTAGGTTCAATACACACTTGTATTGAACAATACAGATTTTTAAAGTTTATTTTATCAATGTGTCTTCTGAAGATACTCTGTGTTGAAGGATCAGTGATCTGTGTTCGACTACTCCACCTAGGCTGCATTTTTGAGCGCAGATCCACTGAGAAACTTGCTGTTTCAGCAACATTTAATTAAAAAACTGTACTTTTGAGGTTAAACAAATGTTCATAAATAATTTAAATAAATTAAAAGTTAAAAGGGGCATGGAAATGTCTCTTTTTATTTTTTTGTATTGAAAAAATTTAGAACCGTGAGACTAAAGTATCGAACCGAACCGTGAATTTTCTGTATCGTTGCACCCCTAGTCACAGTACTTAAGTCATTTTTTTGAGGATGTGTAATTTTACCAAGTATTTTCTAATCGTAACTTTTCCTTTTCTTTTGTTACATTCAGAACATAAAAATGATACTTCTGAGTTGTTTCTGCACTCTAAAAACTGAAGTGTTGATTTTACTGAACCAAGTTAGGTTGACTGGTTTCACTAAAACCAGTTGAGTAAATTGCTTCACATTTACCAGTACTCAGTTTGTTTTAGTGGAAWATGAAGGACTGACCTAATTAAAATGAAAAGCAGAGGTRRGGCCCCTGAGCTTTTGGCTTTGAGTAACTTTGTCCCCTGGAGAGAAGTAACTGATTAGCCCTGTGCTAAAATGTTAATGTTTTGTTTGTTTAGACAAAACAGTTGTGAAGATGATTATTAGCAGTTAGCTTCATCCAGTTGTTAACCCTCCTGCAGGCCTCGGTCCGTGGGTCATTTTGACCCCAGGGCAGCAGCAGGGTTAAACCATTTTGACCGTTCTTTTTCAAGCTGAACTGCCATCCAGTAAACTTCTGTGTTGATTGTTTTGAAGTGGAGAAAAACCCCACCATCAATAATAGATTTTAATTACAGAGCAGAGCAGACACAGAGTCACTTGTGTTGGGTCATTAGACTGATTTAGTAACAAAAATATTGTTGAATGCAAGCATTTGAGAGCACGGAAACTTGCGGAAAGACCTTCTTCACACCAGAGGAACAATGTTGATTTTGTTTTTGTTTTTTTTACAAACTAGCTGAAATGCTACAGAAGCTTATAAAGCCTTCCAAAGTATGAAAACATAGATTACACAGGTTGGGTTAAAGGAATGATCAAAACCTTAAAAGGATTTTAAATACAACAGAGTAAAACTATGATTGAGACCAGGTGTGTGTGCCGAGACAAAAACAYTAAGTGAAGTTACACCAAACTAAAAGCTAAACATGTTTCATTTAGAAGCGAACACATATAACACAGGAAAAGGAGAAAGAAACTGAAAATCAACCCTAATCAGACCAGGAGACAAACAGATTCTACAAAGACACAAACTACTGACAAGCACTAGGACTCAGAATGACTCTTGTCATATTTTATAAAAAGAACTGAGAGCTGAGCTGCTGTCAGGCTGACAACTTTGTCTCGTCTTGACCTCGACTGTTTTTCAGCTGTTGCTACAGTTTGTTCCTGGTGAAACTCACGCAGGTGAAGTCTGTCAGACACCTCTGAAACCAACACTTACCGCTTGTCACATCTCAAGTTAATGACTCACCTGCCCAGCTGCCTTCATTCTGGGATGTTTTTGAACTTTCCTGTCCACCCCCTGGATGTGTGTGAATGTTTGTGTCGGCCTTTATGTGTCTAATCTGTCAGCGACGGCTCTCAGTAGGAAGGAACTGTCGCACATGGTTCACATTAACGTCATCTTTAATACACATGACAAAACTAAATGCTCTTAACTCCTAATGGAAAACAGCAGTACCTCCCTGACACACACACACACATACACACACACACACACACACACATAGAGGAATAAGAGGTTTTACACAGAGAAGGTAAATCTCTGATGCCCAGAAAATCAGTGTAAATGTGGCTCTCAACCACAGTCAGTAGGTGTAATAAAAGGCAGATTTTCTGAGGAGACAAGTGGACGGACCGAGGAATCAGCAGCAGTTTGAAGCATTAATAAAAAGGAAATATTGTTCTTTGTTTGATCACAGGATCTGTAGGGTTTAGAAACAGACTCTAAATGTCATTATTTAACTCAAAYATCTGCTTCAAACTCAGTAAGAATGATGAGTGTCGACAACTGCTGAAAGATGCTGGAACTGAGCTGTTAAAGTTAAAGAAGCTATATACTAGCTAAAGGACAAAAGGAGCAATGTTTCAGATAAAAGTAGCAGTACCCTAGCTAAAAACTGAAAGGAGCATTGCACAAGCTAAAATGAGCAGTACAGTAACTAAAMGCTAAAAGGAGCAGTTCACCAGCTAAATGCTAAAAGGAGTTGTACACTAGTTAAAGACTAAATTGAGCAAAATTTCAGCTGAGAGCTAAACGGAGCAGTTCATTAGCTAAAGGCTAAAAGGAAAAGTACCGTAGCTAAAGGCGAAAAGGATCAGTTCATTAGCTAAAGGCTAAAAGAAATAGTACCGTAGCTAAAGGCTAAAAGGAGCAGTTCATTAGCTAAAGGCTAAAAGGAATAGTACCGTAGCTAAAGGCTAAAAGGAGCAGTTCATTAGCTAAAGGCTAAAATGAGCAGTACATTCACTATGAGGTAAAAGGAGGATCTTAGCTAAAATGAGCAGTACAGTAGGTAAAGGCTAAAGCAGATGAATCTTTGCTGAAGGGTAAAAGGAGCAGAAAATTATTTAAAGTTAAAAGAAACAAAATCCAGAATTTAGAAATATCAGTTGGCTGGTAAAAAACTAAAAATAACTTAAGAAGACATAAACAAATGAATTACTTGAAGCTGATTTCAAAGACAACAATGTTTATGAAATAATTGAAGTAATCTCCATAGAGTTTTGTAAACATATTTGAACCAAGTTAAGTGTTAAAAGTATAAATATTAAAAATAAAGATTAAGTTTCCATCTCATAAATGAGCTAAACATTTGAATTTATGAGTTGTTAAAACAGCACAAAGAATGAGGAATTAGTTGGATTGAAAGAATAAAAACAATAGTGTGAACGCTGAAACAGCACTTTTTTTGTTCCATTTCTTTATTGAACTTTTTCACCACTAAAAAGCAAAAAGACAGCTTTGGTAAGGAACCTGGTTTACAGAGACTACTTTAACAGAACTTTTTAAACAGAAACTTTATGGTATCTGATGCAGTTTGGGCGTATTTATTGTGTCTCTCAGGTGAATATGCAGAAAAGATCTGGTCGTCTCTGGACAAGTCTGATATTAAAGGTACGTTCATCGTCTGTTAGTCGTGCTTTTTGCTCCTTTTGGAGACTTTATTTGGACTTTTAGTCAAATCAGTGAAATGTGTTTGACCTTTTCTGAAAATTGTGTGTATTTTGTTGARACAGTGGAGAGGGATTTGGACCTGAGCCTCCTCAACCATCGCCCTCCATCTCTCCTGCCCTCTTCCAACCATTTAGGCCCCTTGGGCGGTCCTGGATCCCTTCCAATCAAGAGCAGCCTGGAGGATGCTCAGACCCCCGCACAGCCTCACGGTCTTCCTCATCCTGCWGGCCAGAACCACCCGAGACCCCCGCTGCGTCCTCAGGCTCCCACCCTCTTGGGCCACGGCGGCTTGTTGCCCCCCCAGCTCTCCCCGCAGCTGGTACGTCAGCAGCTCGCCATGGCCCACCTCATCAATCAGCAGCTGGCGGTCAGCCGCCTGCTCGCCCACCAGCACCCACCGGGAGTCAACCAGCAGTTCCTCAATCACCCCCCCATCTCGCGGACCTGTAAGGTTTCCGGGGCCGCTACGGACCCCAGCCTCAGCTGCTCAGGAGCCGAAGTCTCCGCTGACATTTACCAGCAGGTCAGGAACGAGCTGAAGCGGGCCAGCGTTTCGCAGGCCGTGTTCGCTCGGGTGGCTTTCAACCGCACACAGGTGGGTGGAGCTAAAACTCTGATCGTTATAAATTTATACCATGTGGTTTATTTTGTTTCCTTTCAGGTAACGTTGTGTTTCCTGCAGGGCTTGTTGTCTGAGATCCTGCGGAAGGAGGAGGATCCTCGCTCGGCCTCTCAGTCGCTGCTCGTCAACCTGAAGGCCATGCAGAACTTCCTGAACCTGCCGGAGGCCGAGCGGGATCGCATCTACCAGGAGGAGCGGGAGCGCAGCACCAGCACCAACCACACCCACACCCACACCCCCATCACCAGCCCCATCAGCACGCAGAGACACACACAGGTACACACACACTTATCCACGCTGCCAGGATGAATCCAAACGGAGCGTTACATCACAGATCAATATTTTTCCACTTGTTTGTGAAGCTTTTTGTTTGAATCTTTTATACGAGCATTCCTGACACTTACTGTAGGAAATGTTGGACCACAGGAGCCCCAAGCCCAGGCTTTTGAGTTGAAAATATGTTGCTGTTTGTGACGCAGCTGTGTCGCGCTAACAAATTCTTCAACTTTTACAACTATCCACTCTGTTCTGGTTAAATCTGTCTGCACTTAGAGCTTGGTTTTTATGCATTTTTATGAAAGTGTTTTTTTTTTCCAGCCCAGCTTAACACAGCGTTTCTCTCTCCCRGTGCAGACCAAGTGCAGCGTTTCTGGTCCGGAGCTGCAGCTGAAGCTGGAATCGTTGGCTAGCATCACATCGGGGATCTACGAGGAGATCCAGCAGGAGATGAAGAGGGCGAAGGTCTCTCAGGCTCTGTTTGCTAAAGTGGCTGCTAATAAAAGTCAGGTCAGTCACAACAACAAAAGTCCAGTTCTCCACTTTTGACTTTATTCTCTTTGATGATCAAGATTGAAATACCAGACTGTGCATGTGGTCTGTGTGAGGGGGGTTCCTGTTCAGGCCTGGACGTGCATTCAACACAAAGATAACACAAATAATTCCTGCTGCAGATGCTTTGTGCAGATAAAATGTTTTGGACTTGTCTGAAACATGTTTACAGGCACTAAAGCTTTTTGTTATACAGTTCTTTACACAATCAGACAGAACTTCTCGTTTGACTTGATAGTGTTTGATGGAGCTGATGAGGTGTGGGGGTGTGTGGGGGGATCTGATTACCCACTGCGGCATGCCATCGCGACTGCGTCGTCGGATAAACAATGCGGGCGATGGAGATCAAAGCCCGAGTCCTGCTCTGAAGGGTGGTGGTGGGGGGACATCATGAAAGAAAAAAGGACTTCAGTGTCTTGCTGCGTCTCTCAGACCTTCATGAAACGGCTCGTTTTTTTATAAACACTTGGAGCTCGCTGTAGATGTACATCATGACRATTATTACTGCTACTTCATGAGATATTATGCTAACAGACAGAAAGACAAACCCAGGAGCAAAAAGTCGTCAGGTGTTTATTGATGTATATTACATCCCTTTTTATTATATTTTTATCTGTGTTAAAAAAGTTTTTACACTAGAATTAGATGTATATTACATTCCTTTTATTATATTTTTATCTGTGTTAAAAAAGTTTTTACACTAGAATTATATTTGTTATTTACCTTCAGTATAAACTGCCTAGAGTGGATCTTTAAAAAAATACAGTGTAACATTGTTTAAAATGTAGCTCAAAAAGATAAAACCCTTTGAAAACGCTGAGTCATCGTCCACCTCTGCCTCTGGCGAAACAGGAGCACCGGGAGGACAAAACACACAGAGAAGGATGGATGCAACAACGYAGGGGTGATCATATTAATACCATTAATTTCCAGGCTGAAGACTGTGCTTAAAAAAATAAAAATAAAGACAACAGCTGCCAGATTGATGGTCAGCCCAGCAGAGATAATTCAATCTCCACAAATTCTCACAACTCAGCTCAGTTTTCCTTCTGTTCCAGGGTCTTCTTGGGGAATAACGTATGTGCTTTTTTGTTGTTTTAAAGCTACGCAATGGAATTTTATWTGTGGCAACTGGAATCCGACATGTGTAATGGTGCGTGAACGTTTGTGACTGCTTAAAAAATATTTTACAATATGACTAAAAAACATGAGCGCCACAGAAGTTTTAAAAGCAGATGAATGGAGCCCAGGAAGAACCGAGATAACACATTTATTAAAACTAGCAGATGTAAAGTCCAGGATAAATTCTTAACAACCATCAGCCACTTTGACTTTAGCTGATTTTAGTGGTGGAAASAACCCAAGGAGAGCTACAATAAGAAAACCACCACTTAGAAAAACCCTTTTTATTTTATGCCCAGCTGCAGTTTGGGTTTGTTTTTTAAACATGAATGAGCTTAAGGCTGTAAAAGCATTTTTTTTCTGTAAAAGTCATAATAAGAAGCTTTATTTCTATTAAAATTAAAAAAATTCAGAAGATGGTAGTGGAAGTATCATGGTCTGSGAGTAAAGGCCACAGAAGCAATAAAAATAATCAAAAACAAAGAATAAAGACAAAGTGCACGAGTTGTTCCTCCATAGTATATTTACACAGTTACTAAGTTAATGTATTAAACAGGCAAGTTAAATCTTTAATTTAATCTTGGGACTCAGAGGAACACTGAACACTGGCAGTGAACATTTGAATACTTTTGCCTCTCACAGGTTTGTAGTGTTCCTTTAACAACAACTGATAAAATGTTTTAATCTTTTTTTATTTAATTTGTTCCTTATCTGCTTAAAAGTACTCACTGCAATGTCATATAGACCAGTCAAAAACAATATTAAATATTAAAGTTCAGAGTATTTTTTTTTCTTACATTCATGGTTAAAGTGAGTCTAAATGGAAAATTTATGATGGCTTCCAACTCCATTTGTTTTTTTACCAACAAAAACAGCTGAAATTACTAAATACTTGTGACAACTATGCAGCAGCCATTTGAGATGGTGATGAATCTTTACAAACTGAGGCTTATTTTATAAAGTATGCAGATAAAAAGGCACATACAATAAAATGACCATTTTAGAAATAAAGTATTTCAAAAGTCCTGCTTTTTAAACTCTGATCTCTCTTTATGGCGATCCACTGCCCACACCTGTCTGAAATGATCCTCTTTATCCACATAAACTAACCAGCCTAACGTAGGCTCAAGGCTCGAGATATGGTTTTCAACAGATTGCTTTGTTTACACTGAGTGCATACCCACWTTCCAGAGCTGAATATCAATATATCTGTGGAAACCACTGCTGTAAACCTATTTAAACTGCGCCATATGACAGGATAAWATTTTGTTATGTTTAATTTCATAGTTTACCATTTAAGGAGTTATCTGCTTATCTAACCAGTCCTATGACTTAAACCAAATTCCAACGATGTTCCTCAAACAAAACTGATGTTATCACCTGTTCAGCTCCGCTCTAAATCAGATACTTGCTGATACCTTAKCTTATTTATTTTTTGTTAATCTAACCTATTGGCAAACACTTTAGTTCTGCTTTGTATCAGTTGGCTCTACAGACAGACCAAAGAAAACTCAGTTTGATACATGAAAAGTATTTTGGCAGCAAGACACTTAATTTACTGAAAACATGACTTTATTATACGACTGAAGGATGGTTTCCTCTCCCTGTTATGACTTTCAGGTACTGCTTATCTGATGCAGAAACCTTTTCTGTTTGAATCTTTTTTTTTTTTGGTCCTTCACATATACAGTAATGTTCACCATATTGGACATATTGGAAACTATCTTCAGATTTCAAAAAGAAAAAATCAGGTCCTCTGGATGGGTTCTTCTTTAGTGAAACATTTCGTCTCTCCTCCAAGAGACTTCTTCAGTCTGATGAGTTTCAGGTGAACTCAGCCTTAAAAGCACTGCCTCCACCTGGACAAACAGGTTAGTCACATGCAAAAGAGGGCCATCGCCAAACAATAGCTAACTAACAATCTCTATTTCCCTGAGGGAAATAGGGACAAAAACAAGGGGACGTCGAGCCTCGCTTGCACTCACTACGTACAGATAACACGACACCAAATAACCACAGCCGAAGCATCCAAACCAATTAGTCAGGACCCTCTATGAACAATAGAGCTAATCAAGCCTATTGTTAGACAATGGCCCTCTTTTGCATGTGACTAACCTGTTTGTCCACGTGGAGGCAGTGCTTATAAGGCTGAGTTCACCTGAAACTC